CCTGATGCCAGACACTATACTAAGTGTTGGAGATACAAAGAAAGTCAAAGACATGGTCTTTGCCCTCAAGGAGCTCACAGTCTAATACAGGAGACAAAAAACAGATAACTATATACTCACAAGATATATACAATGTAAATGGGAAGTAGTTTCACATAGAAGGAACTAGCCGTGGATGGGTAGGAGACCAGGAAAGGCAGCTTACAGAAAGTGGGAGTTGAACTGAGTTTTAAAGAAAGCCAGAGTAGGCAGGAGTCAGAAGTGAAGAGGAAGAGCATTCCAGGCATGGGAAGTAACCAATGAAAAGGCACATGGTCATGAGATGAAGTGTCACGTACAAAGAATAGCAGTTAAGACCAATGCTGCTGGATGATAGTATATGTGGAAGAGAGTAAAGTGTAAGAAGAATGGAAAAAATAACAGGTAAGGACCAGATTATGAAGGGCTTTAAAAGCCCAACAGAGGATTTTATATTGGATACTGGATGTAATAGGGAGACACTGGAATTTATTGAGTAGAGAGGTGACATGGTCAAACCTATACTCTAGGAAGATCACTTTGGCAATTGAATGCATGATGGACTGGAATGAGGAGAAACTTGAGGCAGGGACACAAACCAACAAGTATATTTCAGCAGTCCAGGTGTGAAGTAATGAAGGCCTGCACCAAAGTGCATGATTAGCAAGAATAAAATGTATGTGTGTGTGTATATCTGTGTATACATACATACACACATACACATACACACACACATATGGGAGATATTATTAAAGAAGAAGTGACAAGACTTGGCAATGGATTGGATATGTAGGGTAAATATAAGTGGAGAGATGAAGATTACACTTATGTTTTGAGCCTAGGTTACTGAGTAGATTGTAGTACATTTAATGGTAATAAGGGAATTCAGAAGAGGGTCTAGGTTGGAAGAAAAGAAGATGAGTTCTGTTGGGAAGATAATTTTGGCAGATATGTAGAAGGCAGATTGTATATGTAGAAGACAGATTGTAGAAAAGAATTTGGAAGTTATAAGACTAATTAGGATTACACTGGTCTATGTGAGAGGTGATAAAGTCCTAAAGGAGGGTGGTAGATGTGTGGATAGAAAAAGGATTTGAGAGATACTATGGAAGTGGAATCATCAGGTCTTGGCAACTTATTGTATAGTGAAGATCAGTGAGAATGTGTGAAACATCAAATACTATTCTGAGGTTGCATACCTGGATGACTAGAAAAATAATAAGGCCCTCAATAGAAATAGAGAAATAAAAAAGTAAGGAGAAAGATAATGAGATCAGTCTTGAATATGTTGAGTTTTGGCAGGCAGCTGTGATGTGGGATGGGAACTCAGGGGAAATGAGAGCTGTATTTCTGAATTTGGAAATTGCAAAAAGATGATAACGAAACCCACAGAAGTTGATGAAAGTATGAGAAGACACAGAAGGAAAAAAAACCCTGGATAAGTTTCAGTATGAGTCAATGGTGTGATACCAACCCTTAAAAGTGAGTTACAGAAGACGATACAGCAAAGAGATTGAGGAGCAGTTACATAGATAGAAAGAGAACCAGGAGGAAACAGCAGCAGCACAAAAGCCTAGGAAAGTATGCAAGGGGAGAGGGCAATCAACAGAATTAAAACAACAACAACCGGTAGGGAGTTCAAGAAAGATTAGAAAAGAGAAAAGGTCATTGGATTTAATAATTAACAGATAATTGATGATATGAATCATTGGTTCACTTGGGTGATGCAGTCGGGAACAAGATTGTAAGAGGTTAAAAGTGATTTGGAGGTGATGAAGTAGAACCACATACAGGGTTGTTGTGGGATTTTTTTTTTTAAGTTTGGCTTAAGGAGAAAGAGATAGAGAAGAGATACAGGATAATAGCTTGAGGAAATGCCAATGGCATCCTTACAAGGATGGAAGAGACCTGGACATGTTTGCAGGTGTTGGGGAAGAAACCAATATATAAGGAGAGGTTGAAACCCTGTGTGTGTGTGTGTGTGTGTGTGTGTGTGTGTGTGTGTGTGTGTATGACAGAGGGGTGGGGATGATCCAATGTTCAGGGTCCTAGAGAGAAGGCACAAATACAGTGATTGGTCTTGGCAAGAAGGGGCAATTATTCTAGCATCTGAACAAAAGGATAGAGAGGGACTTGAATGGGAGGAGAGGGAAATTATGAAGGTGATTTTGGGGGGAAATTTGAGATAACTTGAAGAATAATTTGATGTCAAGGAAAAAAAAAAGAGAAGTAATCAAACTGAAGGAGAAGGACTGGTAAGCAGGACCTGTGGAAGAGAAAGACTCAAGGAGAAAGTAGTTGGTAAGCAAGGTTAAAATAAAACAAAGTGATGAAACAAAATAAGAAGTTAGTGAGATAGTAAGGAAGATGGTTGTGACTGTCAAATGTCTAAGGCAAAAGAGACTGTCATGGTGTTGATGAGAAGCTACGAAGGTGAGTTGTAAGCACCTTTAGACAATTTGAAGGACAAAGATTAAGGATCTCATTCTACTTTTTAATCTGCCCATGTTTTAGTCTTTTTGGTTTGGTAGGTGCTTGGAAAGATCTAGATTTGACAGGAGAACGGCCTTTTGGCCTAGATTTCTCTAAAATCTGTCTTAGAATTCTACCCGTGGAAAGACAGAAGGATGAGGAGAGAAGCAAAAGTAGTTCAATTAGTGTTGGAGGGAGCACTGTCCTAACCACTTTCTCATGCAAGTTGGGCTAATTTTTCCTTAAAGGGTATTGAGACTATCCTTGAAAATTGTTTGCCTCAGTATTCTAAAGGTTTAGGCTGTTGACATCATTTCCTTGTTGCCCAAGTACAAATCAGCCTAAAGGATCTTCAGACATGCCTTCTGATGCTTAATTAGTGGAAAATAATAGGTAGCTAAAGCAAAGGAGCTTCATTTAGCTGAATCAACTCAAGGTATCCTCAATGCCTACCCTTGCTAAATAATCTTCTTTTGGTTTAGTAAGTCTCCTTTTGTTAATTATTGAATGATCTCTAAGTGTCCCATTTTGTTCCAGTATTCAGCCTGAGCTCACAGGGTACCAGCCAGAGTAAAGAGCACTCCAACAACCAGTATCTATGATAGCAAGGATACTGTAAGACCTCAGGGTCACAGTCATTCAGTTGGTTCCCAATAGCCAGGACTGAAGTTCCTGCTATAGAGAGTTTTTCCAATTCTGACAATAGCTATCAGCAATGTCTACTGACAAGACAATTGAACATGATAGAAAGATGTGTCTACGTGGTTTCTATGTATTACAACAACAGGCATAATGATGTTGCTGAGTAAACACCTGCAATTCACCTTAATCAAGGGCTATTACAGCAATTGATATATTACTACCCATCACAGTACTAAAACTATTAACTTAAAAATATAATACAAAATAACTGATAAAAGATTAGGATAGAACCAGAAAATCAAGTTTAAAAATCCTGAAAAACAGAGTGAACACTCTATTTGATTTGAAAAGTAATGAAATGCATTGCTGTCACCATTGCATTTAGTAGAATCTTCCTCCAAAATCTATGCAGAAAAAAATTAATGAAGTGAATAGCTCTGAAAAGAGACCAATCCAAGCAAAACAGTCCAAGCAAAGCCATGTATTCTCTCAACAGCTAGAATAATGGTAAATCACCAATAATTCATAATCTTTTGAAAGCTAGCAATATTCTAAATGACAGAGTAATCACTCCTATAAATAAAGAATATTTTACCATGTAAAAGAAGAGTGGCATATGGACACATCTTTTGAAAAGAGATAACTTTTTAACATCACAGGTGAAGAAATTGCATCTGAGAACTCAAATGGGTTACCCATAGTCACACAGCTAGTGGTAGAATCTAGTTTCCTTACATAATTCATTATCTTCCCATTATGTCATGCTTCTTTCATATTTAATGGATTCAGAGAGTCAAATGATACCCAAACTGGAATTCATAATTTCAGTAGGTGACTGGCAAATGATTGTTGAACTGGAGGAATAATTTGACTTGTAAAAGGAAATCTAGAGAAAACATACTTCTTTGAGAATTTCTTTTTATAACCATAAACCAGTTATATTTAACATAGATATATAAACTTGTGATTTTTGGTTTTTACCAATATCAAAGAAAATTATAGCTGTGGATGATTTTTTCACTTAAATATATATGTATATGGTTGTATTTATATTTAGAAAAAAGTTTTATTCTTTTCCTTTAAGAACTCACTTGTTTAAGAGATAATGTAACAAAATAAATTACTAATCCAACTAAATAAGACAAAAATCAATTTTATCCATTCATGGTAGTTTTGTAAATTCAAGTTCAATGATTAACAATTATGGGTGATGTTGACAGCCATTATATTAATTTAACTTCAAACTGATTTTGTGGTAATTGTATTAGCACTTTGTGGTATGGTGTCTTATATTTTCAGAGGGAATTACTGTGTGCCATTACATTTTGTATCACAGACAGTAATACAGGTTTCTAGACTAAAAATTCCATGAGTATAGGAATTATGTCTTCAATAACCTTTGTATTTCTCCATTGCCCCTAACAGTGCTCTTCACATAATACATACAATAAATATTTGTTGAACAAATGCATACCACTCTGTCCTTTCTTAGAAGGTACATCCTGGAAGAAAGAGACATTGCCAGGAAGCCAAGAAGTGAACAAAATCAGCTCTGATAAAGAGTGGTTCGGTGAAACTTTTGTGTAGCTAGTAGATTTTTGGGAAATATTTACAAAGCTGGATTATAGGTGGTCAATTTGATTCTATTCAGCCTTTAGGAATGCGAAAAAGGAAAGTCACTTAACCCTGTTTGCCTCAGTTCCTCATCTGTAAAATGAGCTGGACAAGAAAATGGCTAACCACTCCAATATCTTTGCCAACCCCATGAAAAGTCAGACAAATGCTTAAGAATTATCAATAAGAGAAACAGTTATCTCTGTATTAGATGTGTACACAATTACACAAGAAAACTTTTGACTGACAGAAAGCCTATTTAAATCAGGTTTTATTATATTTCATTTTATGCTTTTAGGTTTCAACAATAGAAAAACATTATGCAGGTAGCTAAAGTGTGAAGACATTTTTATACACTTTTAACATACTCATTAAAATGAGATTTGGACAAGATGAGCCAAAGACAAAGTTCTGTCAGCATTATTAGACATTTCTATATAGAATAAAAAAAAATTCCACTTAGACTGAACACAAATAACTATGGCAAATAATGTTTAACAAATATTTTTGAATTTTGAATATACTGACACTCTAGAGAATTTCAATGTTCTGAGTCCCAAATGGAAGACTATGATGTAGTCTATATATTTAGAGCACTTCTTTGCTGAAGAGAAGTAAACAAAAGAGGACCAATGAGGTTTTGTTCCTGGCAGATATACACAATAAGGGCAGGGATGTAGACTAGGGATGGGGAGTGATGGCTTTAGCTCCTTCGATTAGTTTTTGTTCCTACCCTAATTTCACTGGCATGCCAAAGTGGGAATGAAGCTCATCTCAGTACATAGGCCTCCATACAGTACCTGGTTTTTGTTTGTTTTTTTTCTAGCAGAATCCCTAAAGCGGATCTTAGGGACACAAGCTCACAGTTAGAAAGGTAACAGGAGTTAGAAGTCATTTATTAACCCTAAGTCAGACAGTTGTTTGATACCAAAGACTTTGAATCAACCTCAGATGTAAATAATAAAAATGATAGACCATTTCAGTTTGAAGTATTGTGTTAGCTTTTATTGGCTGCTGCTAATCTGTCTGTTTTGGTTCACAATCAGCCACAGATTGTGCATGAATAGAAATATAGCTTACTCTGTCAGGAAGAAGCCATCTAGACATTCCATTTCAGGCTAGGATAGTAGTAAACAGTGGGTAGCCTTGAAGAGTCTAGGTTGTTGAAACCCAGAAGACGGTAGAAGATAATAACTTGATGAACAACACAACACACCCACCAGAGACAGCTTGAAAGTGAAAATATGATGTCCAGCACAGAGACATGACACCTAGCAGAGAGCCGTGTAATAACATCACCAGATGACTTCTGTACTCTTCAGTGTTGGAAGTGTTCAGTTGTCCCAGCTCTGCATGTGTCCCTGACATCTGGATCCTTATTAGTGTGATCTCCATGCAAGATTCCTAGCCATGTATGTATGTGTGTCACTACCAACACCTGCTTTTTGCAGGTGTGGCACACCTGTAGAAGAACATACCCTATGTGTACTTAAGAGAACTTGTTCTTGTCTCACTTTGTTTGATTAAATGTCTTTTATTTTAAGCTAATGTGGTGTCTGCCTATCTGTAAAATTAACCACATCAATGGAGAGTAATGAGCTACGTCTTTAAGTGCATACCCACAAAATGCTTCAAATCTAAGGTAGTGCTCTGGGGCTCACAGGTGAGAGGGTATAACATGTAGAGTACGCAACCTGTCTATCACTAGATGAATAAGGATTTCTTTTTACCCTAGTTAACATTTGAACCTGTGACTTCTAGTTATATAAGGTAAAATTCACTTGTCTAACAAACATTTATTAAACATTTGCTAAGTGTGAAGAATTATTCTAGGTGCTATAGGGGATATGAAGATGCCTAACCTCAAGAAACTTACAGTATTGAAGAAGAAAGTATTATTGGTGTATTAAACTCTCTTCTTGCTAATTGTAGATGGATTGAAGATTGAATATTGTTTTTCAAATCCTTCAGTAGTTTGAATAAGAATTGCTAAATTAGAGTGTGATTTAGTATTTACTACAGGTTTGATGACTTATTTCTAACAGGACAAAACAAGAGATAAGAGACTTAAGACTAGAACTATTCATATAGGTCTAAGGATTGTAGTAAAAGTACAACATATAGAGTGAATTCTTTTTTTCTCCCTCACTCTTCTGAAGACATCAATAACAATGTATGACTGCTTTGTGATCAGTGTTTATGAAAATACATTAATACAAATAAAATGGTTATATTGCTGAGCATCCACTGCAAATAACTACAAACCTTGAGGTTAGATCAAAGCATGACTTTGTAACCCTACCCTCCTAAGTATCCTAACCATTCTAATATAATCTGCCATTCTCAGAGTTAAGGCCCTCTGATCATTGCTATATTGACAGTGAAACAACAAGAAGTAATTAATATCTGGGAGAAACATAAAAACATTAGGAAAACTAGCGCTGGGAACATGTGTATGCTCTTTGGTGAAGTGATATTTTTTATTTTCAAGATGTCATTCATATGGGAAGGACTCTTCCAAAGCTACAAATTCAGAAAAGCTAAAATGACACTTCTTCCCAGAGACTAGAAAAGATATTCCATTAAACAGACAACAGTTGTAACATTTTGTTTTAACGATGTAAATCGTATTCAGACACCCTTTCACATGTCTGCCCGAACAAAAGAAGCAAATACACCATCTTCCTGCGCCAAGAGGCTTTCTGGGGTGTCGTATTCTAAAATATTCCCTCGCCTCATCACAATGACCAGGTCTGCTGTCAGGATAGTGTGAACGCGATGCTGTGTGGGGAGAAGACAAATCCAATATATTATCATTAAAATCTTTCATGAGCATAAATTTAAAGTTTAAATGAAATATTTTAGGCAGATTATAAAAAAACATTCATTATTCTTGGGATATAAGTGAAAAAATGCAGAAGGTACATTAACTTTTTCATACAATGAGGTACCATTTACTTGCAGGTTTCTAAATCCTGGCTACTATGGGCTAGAGATATAAAGAAGCCAGAATTTGACTTAGATTAAGACATAAAATCTCTACAGCTTGCTGCAGCTTGTCTTTATAATGGTGTGCTAGAAAATTGGGTGAACTAGTTCTATAGCTATTTATTGACTGACTGACTGAATGAATGAATGATTCTTATGAGGAGCTGTGGCAGATAACGTTCAGAGGTCTAAATAGGAATTCTGAGGTCCAGGGTGGAAGGTTACCTTAGCATGGTAAAACTGTTCTGGGACAGGGAGCAGTCTGTTCCCCAGAGCACAGGTCTACACCCCATGACAAAAATGGTGCCTCTCTACAACTTCCCTTCTGGGAAAGAGGCAGGTGAGGAGAAGGCAGCTATACATATATGTGGGGGAAGGTGAACAATGGAGAAGGGAAGAATGCTCAAGAAGAGTGCCACTTAGGACAGAGGAAGCAAAATAGTATAAAGTGTGGGGTCGGCAGATTGAAGGCCTGCTCTGAGGAGCATACATTGGCAACCCAAGGTAGAGCTCCAGAAATCTCACTCTGGCCACAGTCCGGTCGGTGTTATTCTACTGTATAATATTGTATCTCACCTACTCTCCTTATCTAGATCCAGCTGACACCTGTGGGCCATGTCACCATTTAAAGTACTGTGGTAAGCTAATGAATACCAGGAAGAGACTTTTGAGGGCATTACCTGCATGCAGTTGGAGTACCTTGTTTGAAGCAATATGATTGTTAGACAATAGTATCATTAGAAAATCTCACCTTTCCCAATCTTTTGACTCCCTCACAAAGACTAGTGTGGTGGTGGTGGTGATATTTGTTAGTGGTGCATGTAGGATTAACCCTCTCCATCTTATAATTAACCAAACTCTGAAGGGGGCCTTACTACATATGCATCTGTAATTCTATACCTCGAAATACAATTAGGCCACCAGTATTTCTTAATGTCTTCTTCTAGTGCCCTTACTACCTCAACCCTCAAAACTTTTTCGGGGCCTCCCAGCAATGAAAAGTTTGTTGGGGGTATTTCCAATATCTAAGTGTGATACCATAGTTGTCCCCCAGAAAACAGATTATACTGCTATGGAATGTGACAGGAATTAGAAATTGTTCATCAATTTTTTAAAAATCTATGCATTGATAGTACTATCATAAACTGTATTAGCTTTGAATATACACAACCATAGTATATTTTAAAAGTGGCACCCTTGGGGAGGAGGGGAGGGAGGGAGTTGCTTTCCCTTTTATGAGGACTTTTCTTTGAATAAGGTCAGCCCCTCTTGTCTGTGTCAAAAATAGACTTAATGGGCTGTGTAAGATTTACTGTAAACTTTTGTACACTTTAATCAAAAACTCAACTAAACTAAACCCTAATTCTTCCACTTGCCTAGCAATTGATATTAAAAAAATAATTCAACCATTCACTGAGAGAAACAAGTAGGCCTCCAAATCCATAAATAGACTGTCATAAACATTGGCTTGCTACACTAAAATTGTGTTTATACAAAAAATAAAGAACAAAAAGCTAGAAACTTTGGCCAAAGAAGCAAATGTGGCTTAGTTTCATCTGATTAATCCAAATTATTATTATTCTCATTTTTATAAAATGCTGTCAGTAGTAATAATGTTGACGAAAGTCTTAATTCTTTTCCAGGGAATTAATCTAATTACCAATGGAAATAATCCATTTTAATACGTGATTTAACATTTAATACTTTAGTATTTGAGAGTTACTGGTTAGAAAAAAGTCCTTCTTAAGACTTTCACATAATTTTCTAGGTCATTTAATGAAATTAACAGAAAGGCTTTCAGTCAAGGGAAAAAAATAGATACCATTATCATAGAAATAAGAACAGTTGGAAAATTCAAATTCCTCCCTATTTCATTCCCTACAAGGGCTTTTTCTAGGCCTTCAGAGGGGAGATGGTCTGACCTTTGGCTCCAACCATGATTCTCTCTTGCAGCAAGATCAACAGTTCATTGAAAAAAAAAGATTTCTGTTAAGTAAATGGTACCTTATTCTCCAAGTATGTTGCAGAAAGGAAGGTGATTAAAGAGATACATGGATAGAGTAATGAGGAAGTACTGACAACATACACAAGAGCAGAAATCAGGCAAAAGATATAATGTTCCTGTGTATACCAATTCATGTCCAGTTAATCTTCCAACAATACACCATGCCAGGTTATGCAGTGGCCCCATGTTCTATGCATAAGGGGAATCAGGGTCAGCCTTGCAAAATGTAGAGTAGATGGTTGCTTACAGGGTTTGATTTAAGTGGTACCAGGCAGGCTAGATGATCCTTCCATGTAATAAGGAACCATGGTGGCATCATCATCATCAACAACTACAACAATAGCAACATTTATATAACATTTTAAGGATTGCAAAACGCTTTGCAAATATATTATCTCATTTTCAGCTCGTGGGAAGGTTAGTTATCTAGGATACATAAGATAGAAGGAGACACTGAAAGAGTACAGAAAATTTGGTAAGGGGGCAGGGTACAAAAGAAAAAACCTCTATTTCACAATTTTGTCTTTATCAACCTTGGTGGGGATCAGTTCTCTCCTAATTTGTGTATGGTATACTCTTAAAGGATTTGTTTCCTTCCTTGTCCATCTTTCCCACATACCCTCTCTCATCATCACCCTTAATCACACATAGAGCCATACTGAGCCAGCAGAGCAATTTCCTGCATGTCATCTTTTCTAGACTTTAAACCACAGAAAACCTATTTCTTTAAATCATGTACTCTTCAAAAGCAAGCAACAAACATGTATGATATAGTATTTATGAAAGCACATAAAGAACATGCTGAGAAACACTGAAACTGGCCCTTTAGATCAGAGGTTCCCAAATTATTTGGCTTATTGTCTCCTTAAAAAAAAAATTGCTCAGTGCCCCCCTGGAATTCTTTAATCCTTTAACTTTTTTTCTTTTTTAAATTTGTGTCATTTTGAAATATAAAATTTTTTAAAAAAATTATGTATCTTAAATTTAATAACATTGTAAATTTGTGGGGGGGGGGGTTCCTGCACTGAAATTTTGATGATGTGATATTATGTCTTGTAAACATATGATATCATATTGTAAACAAGTCATTATTCATACATATTCCTGCCCTGCATGCTGAACTTCCCAACAATGTGCTACATGCTCACCTGCCAACACTTGCTTGTTAAGACCTGTCAGCAGACTTGACCACTGATTGGTTATAACTTCATTTTGTGTGTTTATTTGGAAAATAATGTAATAATAAATAATAAAATAATAAAATAACATAATCACTACAACTTTAACTCTGTTACACAACAGATGAAACATGTATGAATGGTTTTTCAAAGTTTTCTTATCTTCTCTTCTTTCTCATACTTCCACTGCTCCCTTATTTTTATTCAATACTCCCCAATTGCACCTGAGGCTACTATCACACCCCTGGGTCATTGTAGCACCCCCCCCAGGGGATGGTATTACCCACTTTGGGAACCTCTGCTTTAAATGAGAAATGAATCTGGTGGCAATAGATTCACTCTTTATATTCATGTTTGAAATCATTATTTTACCCCATTTATGACAATACACACATGCTTATGTATATATGCATAATTTAATAAATTTACCCCATTTAGGGCAATGTTTTTTTCTTTTGGGCAATATAGGCCAGTGGCAAGCCACCTTCCCCACTGCACTCCCACACCTTTGCATACAGCCATTAAGGTTCATTTGTATTATGGTACAGAAGCTGGTGAAGTAACTACCAGAGAATGAGATGCTTTATATGCTGAGTAGATTTTGATGGTCTATTTGTGGGTCATCACCAAAGTGGAAAAGAGGCCATTCTTGTGAGCAAGCAAGTTTGGAACAGAATCACATTCCACTAAGATACCCTCAGAAAAGACTAAAACAAGGCCTGCATCCATAATAGAAGACACCCGATGCTAGAAAGAAAAGAACAGAAAGAAGAACAAGAGAAAGAGTTAGCAGGAGGGAAAAAGGGCAGTTGACTTATTGAAAGATGACTGTTGTTGAGTGGTAAGGCTGAATACAAGAAAGAATTTTCCCAAAAGCCAGTGAAGGGGAAAAAGTTGGATTGAAAAACACAACAAAAGTTTATATTAAGAAGGAAGTAAGATAAATTACACAAAAGTTTTGAGATGAAGGTACAGCATAAAAATGACTAGCCAGTAGTCATTTTTATGAAATAGACATAGCACTTTCCAAAATTAAAGTCTCTAATTATACTACAAGGTAAGGTGGTGACTATTTTCCCCCAGATGTATCAATAAAAGCAATTAAATTAGGTGCAGAAAGCCAGTAGCAGAGTTGACAATCAAATTTAGTAATACTCATTCCTAAATTGCTACGCAGACCACCAGATTATGTTCCTGGGAAAGCAACTGAGACATCTGTTGAAGGACAGAATTACTCCATATGAATAAACATCTGTGCTAGGGAAGAACAGCCTTAGACTGCAAAAGAGTGGAATTAAATGCATAAACATTAGATGAGTTCCTCTGGATTCTATAGCATCTATATTTATAGCTTAATTTCCAACTGATGTACTCAAATGTAGTCTGGAAATGTTTATGAAAAGATTTTTAAGCTGTGGGTGATTTTTTTCTTTAGGGAGGAGGGGCACATATGCAGTAACTGTTAGAGGAATAACTAATTAAATGTATAAATATATTTTAATCACTCAAAGTTGAAGGAAGATGGGTAGATGTAGGAACAAAAGACTGAAGATGATCAAATTAACTTCTCTTATACTTACAGCAATTGTTACAACTGTGCGGTCTGCAAAGGCTGTCATTACCACTTTTTGCAAAATATTTTCCTGTAAAACAAAAGTGCCAGAAGTTGCTCATTTTTTTTCTCTCTTCTCATGCCAATATAGCTAAGAAGAAAAAGTACTTTTTGTTGTCAGTTTCCCCTCAATATAGCTTTAAAAACATCCATTTTTGTGGTTCTTCATTAACCTCATATCATTCTGGGCTTTGTAACTCGACATAGTTTTTATGGGACTGTTTCACATTCTGTCCACCTTTTGTTACCTCCTTTTGATTCATCTTCCATACTTCTTTTTACTCTTAAAAATGTCAAACTAAAGTAATATTTTATTTTTATATCATTTTTATTTCCAAATATATCCATCTCCCTTCTCCTCTCCAGTATCATTCCTTCTAACTAAAAATTTTAAAAGGAATGAAAGCTCTTTAGGAAAACCAATACATGCATCAATTACATCTGATAGTATATGTAATATTCGACACTCACAGGCACACGCACCTCTACAAAGAGGGGACCAAGATGCATCATTTCAAATCTTCTTTAGGGCTAATATTGGGAATTATGACCTGCTATTGGCTCTTATTAAGTTCTTTTTTTTTGAGGAAGGGCATTCATATCTTTAAAAAACTAAGTTAATTAGTGATTTCTGTATACATCAGTCCATATAGACAACTCCCATTTTTCCTTTTCATTTAAATTGTTTCTCTTTGTGTCTTTAGAATCTCATTCTTGATATTTTGCCATTCTTCCTGGGCTGACTTCCCCTATAGAATTTTAGTCTATTGATTCTTCCTCTTATCTTGACAATTTGCTTTCCCCAAATCTAAGATACATCCATTATTATGCTTGGCTTGCCTCTTCTTTTCAATCACAAATTCTTATAAAGAATGGTCACTTCTCTCTCCCCTAAACTCCTAAGGTGCCCAAAATTTTCTCCCCAATGACTAGTTCTCCTTGTTGGTAAGAACCAAATTCATAATAGAATACCTTTTTTGTTGATTCCTCTACCTTTTGAAGAATGGAATTATCATTAAAGGCAAGACAAAAACTTATTAATTGCTTTTGACAGAGTGAGAGCTCTAGCAAATGCCTAGATAGTTGAAGTCCCCATTACTCCCATAACATGCCTGCATGCTAGGTTTATTAACCTGTTTTATGATCATCTTATTTTTTTATATTCTTGTCCAAACAATATGTAGTATATGCTGAAGTAAAAAAATCACTTCTACTTTTCCCTTCTATTGCTCTTCACCCAAATACTCTACACTCTACTTCTCTAATTCTTGGAATTCTTCAGAGAAGTACTGCATATTGTCTCAATATAAAACATTAAATTATAAAATATTTTATATTTGTATATAATATATAAATATATTCCATAAAATATATTCTAAATATATGATACGATGTGATACAATACAATATATTATCTACCTCCTTTCCTTTTACCTATATTGTTTCTTCATGAGTTTCATCCTGCCCAAAATAAGTTAGATCTTTTAAGTCAATTTACTTCCACTTCTTAGGATCCTTAGTTCCTTTTGCTTGCTGCCTAAAGCATTTGTCTGTATTTGTCTGTGGATATTTGGCACCGTGGTTTTTACTTATGACTCCTTCTATTTTGTCTCCTGTGAAATTCTGGGTGTCTTACAGGCCGTTGTTCCTCCTATATTGTAGCTACTCTATGGTTTCTAGCTTGAAGGTTTTACACAGACAATTTTCCCAGGTTTTACACAGACAGTTTATTTTAAAGTCATTTTGAGTAGATTTGGAAGGATCCATTCCTGGAACACTGTACTAGAAGCCTCCCCTAGCTGAGATCAATTCATTAATTGCCATTTTTTGGGTCTAAGCATTCAATCAGGTCCAAATCCTTGTAAATATAATATCAGTTAGCCCATGTTTCTTTACTATGTCAACAAGCATATCCTGAGAATTATGTCAAATGCCTTGCTAAATTCTAGGTCTACAATTTTATATACAGTATCCAATCACCATTCTAGTAACCACATCAAAAAAGGAAGTGAGGTTGATGAAATGATCATCACTACCTCTTTCCCTAAATACTCCCAAACCAGTCCTTTAATGAGATGGTATTTTTCTAGGAGTCAAGGTAATTTTAACTAGTTTATCATTTGAAAATTCCATCTTCTTGTCTACAAGTAAGAAAATAGGCCAAAAACCTAAGGAAGAGGGTGAAATCAAATAATCATGACATGGTTAAATTTAAAATAGGTAAAAATCAAAATAATGCTATATTAAGATAAATGAACCTTAATTTCCAATAGTAGCATCTTTAACATATTATAGTCTCTTTATCCCACGAAGAAAGTAGAATTATGAAATTTGATTGTCAATATATTAAAAGTGTCCATAGAATTGTAGATTTAGAGTTGGAAGAGAACTTAAAAGTCTTCTAAGCCAACCAATGGCTTCAAAAGCCAACCTTACAGATGAGGAAAATGAGACTCTAAGAGGCTGAATGATCTATTTGAAGTCACATAGGTTAGTGACAGCAATCAGAATTGAATTCCAAATACTTCACTCTTTCCATTACATGATGCTGCCTTCCATCAACAGTGGGGAGGAATGGACTAAAGGTTTTAAGGCAAGGGCTTTTACTCATTTTTTTGTGTCATGGACCCCTTTGGCCATCTGGTAAAGCCTAAGAACTCCTCAGAATGTTTTTAAATGCATAAAATCAAATACATAGGATTACAAAAGAAACCAATTCTATTTAAATACAGTTGCCAAATATTTTTTGTAAGCTCACAGGCACCAGATTAAGAATCACTGCTCTAGGCAGATTTCAGGAAAACCTGGAAAGATTTACATGAACTGATGCTGAGTGAAGTCAGCAGAATCAGGAGAACACTGTACACAGTAACAGCAATATTGTGTGATGACTAACTTTGATAGACTTAGCTCTTCTCAGCAATGCAAGGATCTAAGACAACTCCAAAAGATTCATAAGGGAAAATGCTATCCACCTCCAGAAAAAGAACTATAGAGTCTTAATGCAGATCAAAGCATATTATTTGCTCTCTCTCTCTCTCTGTTTCTTCTTTCTTGTGGTTCCTCCCATTGACTCTAATTCTTTACAACATGACTAATATGAAAATGTTTAATATGGATGTATATGTAGAGCCTATATCAGATTGCATTTCACCTTGGGGAGGAGAAGGGGTGGGAGGGGGAGAAATTTAGAGCTCAAAATCTTATGGAAGTGAATGTTGAAAACTAAAATAAATGAACAAATACATTAAAAAGAATCTAAGGTTACCATTTTCAACTTCCTAATCCAGTCCTTAAAATTCTAACCAGAAGAACTCCTTCATTTTAGAAATAAAGAAACTAAGATCCGGAGACGGTAAGTGACTTGCTCTTAGTCACAGAGATTAGTAGGATCCAGATTTAGCATTTGTAGCTCCTGCTTCTTTAGTGGGCTTAGTTCTATTTTCCCCATTCTTAAACAATAAAAATTTACCTAAAATTCCTCTTTACCTTCTTTTTTCTTCTTTATTCTTTCATTTCCCTCATTTCTCTTCTATTTTCCTTACATATCTATAGATAGATCTGGGAGTGGGCTATGGTCAACATTGTTGGAAGGGAATTTTTTTTTTCCTTATTTTCTTTAATTCCAGGCCTGGCTTACTTTCCCACATAACCCTAAAGATTACCATGAATAATATTTCTCAGCAGATACAGACCAGCAAGCAGCACAGGATTCTCTTTAACAAAGTAAAATTTCATTAGTTTGGAATAGTTTGGTCATATCTGGTCTAAGACTTTGTGAAACAGTTCAATCATAGAATATTTTTTTAAAAATTGTTTGTGTGTGTGTGTGTGTGTGTGTGTGTGTGTGTGTGTGTGTGTGTGTGCGCGCGCACACACACGCGCCGGGTGTTTTCCCCAAATGCACAGAGTAGTGAACTAAGTTGCACTGGCTAGTCCTTAGTAGACAGTATTTAATGAACACATGAAAATGATATGAAATTAGCAACTCAGTATGAAATAGTAGTTTCTCTACAGCTTGAGGATGCCTGGAAATTCTGTGTTTGTTTCTCTAGTTTTCCAAGTTCAGAGATGAAGAGGGTATCACAAGCAAATGTATTATTTCATGAAGTTCTAAAGGTTGTCTTTGAGGTTTGTGGGAGGAGAATCTGGAGCTGGGGGTAACTGAGAGATAGCTATTGGATACTTTACTACAGTTTGCCAAAGTTACTATCAGATGGGCTCAGTACTTTTTTTTCCTGCAGTTATCTTTTGAATGAATAATTTGAAAGGCGGTCCTTTAGCAATCCTAAATTAGAAGTATTTTGTAGGGGGAAGTAATGTGTGGTACTGATTATAAAACACCACACAAATATGTAAAGCACAAAATCATGAATCTAAATAAGCACTATTGCCATATGATGACATCAAACAGTTTTAGTTATTTTCATGCTAATTCAAAAAATTGGCTAATAAGCCAGTGCTCATTTGGAATCCCACAGTCCAGACTTAGATTTTTAAAGGTTGCTTATTCATGTCAAAGGAAATGAAAAATTATTTTAGAATGATATAATTTGTATTGATTGCCAATAAATTACATATATACATACAATACACACACACACACATACACATATAGTCCCACCCCACTATATTGTGAGCTTTCTGAAATGAGGTCCACATCTACTCTGTTCGTAATTCCGAAGGGCCTATGGCACATAATGGATACTCCTAATAAGTCATATTAGTTAAGTGTGTGTGTGTGTGTGTGTGTGTGTGTGTGTGTGTGTGTGTAGCAACATGGTGAAGTTGATAGAAAGTTAGCCTCAGCATCTGAAAATTCTAAGTTCAGATTTCACCTCTGATACCTGCTGGCTGTCACTTAAACTTCTTGGTGACTCAGGCAACTCTCTAATACTACATGTTGCAGAATAGTTTCAAATCTCTATTTGTAAATGGAATGCCTACACTCAATATGTGTATACACACACACACATACACATATACACATATACCTATATATGTATAAAGTTTTGTGGGTTTGTTTTTTTTCACACAGACCAATAATCTAGGCCAACCACCTGGACTTTTGAAAAGCTCAGGTCTTCATATACATTACATTCCCTTAATCAATAGTTAATAAGTCAACTCTAAAAACTGAAGCTATTCACTCACTGTAGCCATATCAATAGAAGCTGTGGCTTCATCCATGATGAGAATGCTGCTCTTCCGGACAAACGCTCTGGCAAGGCAAAACAGCTGCCTTTGTCCCACACTAAAATTTTCTCCACCTTCAGTGACAACCGCATCTAGATAAGAAGCAAGGATTATATCAGAGAAGTAAGAATGAAAATTTGCATTAAGAAAATAGTAGGACATGTTGGGAAGCAGCCACTGTGTCCCAAGATTACACACAGGCCACTGACAATTTTGTTTTCCAGAAGCAAAGTACCATTTGGACTGCTTCCAGTAACAGATGATTTTATATTTTTTGGAGACAGTAAGGAGGGAGCTTGGAGAAGGCTGAAAAAACTTGGATTATCTCAAATGGTTTTGTCTTTCCCCGTAGAATATAAAATCCCTGAAAGGAAGGGATTGTCTCAGCTTTGTGTTTTTATCCCTAGCACCAAGCACTGTACTTAATAAATGCTTATTATTGTTATAATAAGTAAATTTGTTGGGGACAGAAGTGTATTATCATTGAATCATAGACTTCTAAGGTTGGAAGTGACCTCGGAGGTATTGTAGTTCAACTAACATTTAATAGATGGGGAAACTGAGTCTTAGAAAATGGCTTGCCCAGAGTTATCCTTCTAGTGAGTGGCAGACCAAAACCTAGTGTGTTAGGCTCTTTTCCATTGCGGCATACTATTGCCCTTTCAATATATTCCTCTCCTATATTATTGCATTGACATTTCACAAAGTGAATATTATTAAAAGCATCATTGTCAACACAGAAAATTTGTTACCCCTGTCCACTCCCTACATACCACTTACATATAAATGAAGGATGGGGACACAAATGTGTAACAGACTGCGTACACTGCTGTTAATGTGGATTTCTTAGTACTGAAGGGGGAAAAAAGGAAATGGGCATGCACTTGTACACCAGTCCTTCGGTGTGGCTGTCTGGAACCTCAAAGATCAAAAGAAGTATTGAGAAGCCTTAGGATAACCTCTTTGGGACTATCCCTAAAATTCACCTTGAGACTTCTGAAGAAAAGTTCCTAATCTTTTTCCATGACATGACATTTCTTAAGTTATTTCAGTTTTTGCTCAGAATGGAGACCACCTAATTAGCACTCAAAAGTAGGATGTATTTTCCTCTCAACTAAATTAGGATTGCAAAAATATCCGTCTGCTTTAGATAAGCCCCTCTTGACACAAAAAAATGCACCTGATTTTTACTGCCAGATAAGACACATGGGCAAGGGAAGCTAGGTGGTGCAGTAAATAGAGTGCTGGGCCTGGAGTCAGGAAGACTCATCTTCCTGAGTTCAAACCTGGCTTCTGACATTAACTAGCTATGTGACCCCAGACAAGTCACTTAATCCTGTTTGTCTCAGTTTCCTCATCTGTAAAATGAGCTGGAAAAGGAAATGGCAAACCACTCCGTTATCTTTACCAAGAAAACCCCCAAAAAGGGGTCACAAAGAGTTGAAAATGACTAAATAGCAACAAGAAGGCACATTTAACTCAACAACTGTGGACTTTATTACTTTAGATATGATTGGCAATAGTATCAGTTACCATCAGTTACTAGTTGAGGCATCTGGTCCAGATTCACCTTCCAGTTACCTTCATTAACTAAACACTATCATGTCACTATTCTTCTTTTTTTTCTTTTTTCTTTTTAGGCATTTGGCGTTAAGTGACTTGCCCAGGGTCACACAGCTAGTAAGTGTCAAGTGTTTGGTCTGAGGCCGGGTTTGAACTCAGGTCCTCCTGACTTCAGGGCCGGTGCTCTATCCACTGTGCCACCTAGCTGCCCCTCATGTCACTATTCTTGTATACCTGACAACAATTATACATTTGTATTAGACATTCAGATTGAGGTTAGAGGCTCTTCCGAGCAAATCAGTGCTTGGAATCCAGAATCTAGAGAACCTGAGAATCTGGATTCCATTTCCTGGAAAGTGCCTAGAATACAATTAACGGAACTAGGTAGGTCACAATCTAAGCAGCAGCCATCCTGATTGACAGTTTCTGACTATAACTGAAGGTTGGGAGCAGGGGGAGTAATCAATTTGGAGAATAAAATAAATTTATCTTGAAATGACCAATCAGGTCATTAAATTAAAGAAGAAATACTGGTTAATACACATATACTATCTGTAAATGTTCCTGGGGCCCGTTCTCCATAGAATGAATGAGACGGGGAGAAAGATTCCTTTTTCTCTTCATCCCCTTTCCTGTACTCTCAGTGACTCTCTGAATGACAATGAAATTAGGAATGTGCTGTGCTCTCCCTCTTAGCAAAGAGCCCATCCCAATGCTCCCTTCTCCACCCGAGGCATTTAAGGACCAAAAGGAGACAGAATAAGTATGTAGGAAAAATAGCCCCTACCGAATTAGGGCAATGTTCTCCATTCAAGACTAGTATATCACAGTCCAAATGGACGCCCACAAACTAACCTGTAAATTTGAAGGTCTTAAATCTCTCAGACCCACCCTCCCATCGCTATTTTCCTTTAGGACTTTGGACTGGCAAACCCATGCTTACATGTAACCTGACCAAGGAAGTCATATTTGGAACCAAACTGAGCACTATAATAAAATGCTCGTGTGCTTAATTTGTTGAGTACCACACTTCTATATCTTTTCAGTATGTCCTTGGTTTGGAGTTATTCTCTTGGGAAGCTCCACTTTTCTCTCTCTGTTTCTCCATCTACAACCTTTGAGATAACTAAAAGAAAAAGATTAAACAGTACTGAACTAACAAGATGAAGGTTAAAAATATTTCCCTTCTATGATGCAATATAGGGGCTTTTTAAGACCGAAAATAGAAAATTAAACCAAAATCACGTATTAGAGCTAGAAAGAAACTAATCCAACTCTCCCATTTTATAGATGAGGAAACTGAGGCCCAAGAGAGTGAAGTATAGGGCAGCTCAAAACCTAATAAAGCTTTGTCAACATTTGCATGTGGAAAGCAGGGAACAAACAATTTGTTTCCTCTAGAATGACTGTTCTAGGGAAATATAGAAGGGTTTTTTTCCTGTCTTCTTTTATCTGTTCCTTTGCAAGGAAGACCCAGACCATTTTGGAAATTAGGGAAGCTACACTGTGTCAGACCCACATGGCCCATTGTGCTTTGATGGAACACAGCCCACTGTGGGGAAACGAAGGCTGGCAATCAGGAATCCTCTCAAGTGAGAGGAGGCTAGGTTAGAAAGAGGATTGGAATAGGGACTTGTATTCTTATACTAGAAGTTCAGTTCAAAGAACTTTTTCAGGTCAATTAACTATCAGATCGATGTAAGTCCATACATGTGCTTTGCCTACATATGTTTCTTGCATGTATGTTTGACCATGTGTGATACCTCAATGTGTTCATTCTTCATACTGAGAGTGTATACATTGTAGGAAAGTGTTTTAGAGGTGAAATGTTCAATTGCAACAGCCTTTTTGACTATGCTATTTCATTAAAATTCTTTGCTTTGAGCTGATCTCATCCTCTGGGTCATTACTACAAGTAAATACTTTCATGGTACTTTTATGTGGTTTTGAGTTAACATGGAGCCATGAAATACATGGAACCTGAAAAACTTTTCTGGGAGCCATTAATGACTACCCTGAACCTAGGAAAATCTATCTAAAGGTTATCTCAGTTAGACCACATTTCCCCCATCTTCTACAAGAAGGGTATGAAATATCCTATAAAATGCTAAGGTAAATTCTAGATAAATTATTTCTACAACACAGTTCATTGTCTAACAACCTGTTTATAATACCCTGTTCTACTAGTTTAATAATACTGATTGAAAGGAAACAAAATTGTTAGCTAACGAGAATTTTATTAGTGTGTGCCAGGCATTGTCCTAAGTTCTAGAGATGCAAAGAAAGAAAAAATATGGTCTTTGCCCTTAAGGAGCTCATATTCTAATGGTAACATGCAAAAAAAATGTACATAAAAGACTGCTTGCACAAGTAGGATTTGAACTGAGTCTTCAAGGAAGCCAGGAAGCAGAGATTAGGAGGGAAAGCTATTCTGGGCAATAGGGCCAACCAGTGAAAAGGGAGAGAGTCAGAAGATGAAGTGTCATATGTGAAGAACAAGAAAGTCACTTTCACTGGATCATGGAGTAAGTGGAGAGGAGTAAAGACTGGAAATATAGGAAGGGGCCAGGTCATGAAGAGCTTTAAAATGCCAAACAGATGACTTTATATTTGATTTTGCAGGCAATAAGGAGCCAGTAGAGTTTCTTAAGTAGGGGGAAGGATGACATGGTTAGACCTGCGCTTTGGAAATTCATTTTGTAAGATAAGAGGAGGATGGATTAAAACACAGAGAGATTTGAGGCAGGGCAACTGACCAGCAGGCTATTACAATGTTACAAGAGTGAGATGATGAGAATCTAGACCAGGGTGATGGTTATGAGAGCAGAGAGAAGTTGTCAAGGTGAAAATGACAAAACTTAATGACAGATTGGATCTATATGGTGAATATAAGTGAGGAGTTGAGAGTCACACCAAGGTTATGAAACTATGTGACTGGGAGGATGGTTGTGCCCTAACACAGAGAAATTTCAAAAGAGGAGAGGGTTTGGAAAGAAGGCTGAGAAGTTTTGTTTTGGGCATATTGAGTCTGAGATTCCTATGGGAAACCCAGTTGGAGATGTTCAAAAAGCAGTTAGTGATGTGAGACTGGAGCTTTGCAGGCAGGTTAGGGTTGGATGGACAAAAGTGGCAATCATCTGCATAGAGCTGATCGCTGAATCCAAAAGAGTTGATAAGATCTCCAACAGACATAGTATAGAGGGAGAGAAGAAGAGAGCCCAGGGCAGAGGCTCTGGATACATTCACAGTTAGTGGGCTTTACCTGGGTGAAGATCAAGTGAAAGAAATACAGAAAAGTCTGGCATAACTTGTTCTTAATTAAGCTATGCTAGCTCTTGCTGGCTACTGCTTCCTTTTCTAGATGTTGGCTAACCATCTGTTTAATAATCTGCTCTGCAATGTTGGTGGCAGCTATTTTTGGAATATAATTAAAAGACTTATCCCATAGATATCCCAAAAGACATATCTCTCCTTACCTACTAAACTTTGTATCTTACTCAGCCCCTACCACAGTGCTCTTCGCACAGTAGGTACACATAATGTTTTTAATTGAATTGAATCTAGGAAGTCATATAATTCAGTCCTTGGCATGGTAAAGCAAGAAAAAAAGTATTCTGATATAATAATAATAGTAATACTAATAGCATTTATATAGTACCTACACAATGTGTCAGGTATCAAACTAAACATTTTACAAATATTATTTCATTTGATTCTCACAATAACCTTGGGAAATAGGTGCTATTATTATTCCCATTTTACAAATGAATGAAGTGAAACAAAGGTTAAATGACTTATCCCAGACCACACAGGCTAGTGTGATATGAGGCAAATTATATTTTTGATATTAGAGTAAAAATTTATTTAAAACTAATGTACTCCCAGCAGCAAAATAAAAGCCTGCCTAGATAGAAGGCCATTTTCTTCTACACAATTCTAGCCACTCTATAAGGCTAGAATTGTGTGGAAAAAAACAGCCTTCACACTGCAATACGTAATGGACCATTCATTAAAAGTAATTAATAGTGTGTATTGTATGTACAGGGAATACTAATATAAAGTGTTATGTGCCTACAATGATAGGATTTTGGCGAGAATGGGGAAAATGTATAGGTTAGTATTTTTAGGTAATTTTTTCCCCCAAAATGTGTTTAGAATCCACATATAAGAACCTTGTTAAATTCTCAGGAGCAAGATCTATTGGCATAAAGCAGGTTCTCTTGGACATCATTCCAAGTGATTTAACTTCTGAAGAACAACAACAACAAAAAAACCCTTGTATAAAATGTTGGTGTAATGAGGTTAATTCCATGGTATTCTAACAAACCTACTACAAATGTTGAGATGAACTCACTACAAATGAACAAACTACAAATTTTACAAATATATGTTTAAAAAAACACACACAGAGAGAACAGGAATATTAAAAGACATACCCAGACCTCCTGGAAGTGATTTAACCATATTCTTTAGTTGAGCAATTTCTAGAGCTTCCCAAAGTCTATCATCAGTACATTTACATTCAGGATCTAAATTAAATCTGTAGGGGAAAATAAATTAATTTATCAATGAAGTGTAATTGGTTGAACAATTAAAAAGTGAGTATTTATTTGATCATGGTATATTGCATAGTAAAACATATTGTGCTGGATAAAAATAGTGATACTGGTGGTGATATTATTAGATATTTATCAATAATACAATATGTTTATTTGTTTAATTTAACTGTACTTTATTATAAAGAAAGAAGATTCTAAGATGGAATCACAGGTAAGTGACAATGATATTAAAAAAAAGATAATGCAGACAGGACAGCACAGACATGTTGTAAAAGAGAAATACGAACTACTATCAGGCCTGGCATTGTCTTATGTTTTAATTCTTTGGGAACATTCTGTTTTATATCTTTCAGATAAGACTAACCATAATAAAAAATGGTTAATCTAAGCACTGCATTTCTGATGGAAAAACTTCAAACATAATCACTTGGATAATTTTGTCTTGTATAAACATCTACAATCTTAAATTGCAGATATCTTTATACACATACTAAAAGAGAATGGCACCTTCCATGAACTTTAGCATATATGTGGAGGGTTCAAAGTAACATTCATATTGTTTCTTGACTTTCCCTCTCTATCTTAATTCACATGTGGAATTCATATCCATCTTTTAAATCCAATTTAAAAGCCGTATCTATGAAATTCCCTGATCCTGCAAACCAGTAACAACCTACTCCCTTGAAGATGACGAGTCACTTTTTTCTAGAAGTTTTTATAAGTCAGTCATTCAACAAGTACATATTAAACATGTATTTTTGAGGATATTTTTTAAGGATGGGAGGAGAGACAGGCATGTTTGTAGCAAGAAGATAAGAAATGAGACTGGAGGTTACAGAGAATGTGGGGATAATGGTAGGGGTAATCTGATGGGAAAGATAGGAAGGGATGGGATCAAGGTTGAATGTTGAGGTATTGGCTTTAGCAAAAAGAAGTGGCCCCTCTTCATCAGAGACTAGAGTGAAGGGGAGGAGAAAGTAGGGGAAGATATCAGAGGGGTATGACATGGGGAAAAGTACAAAAGAAAGAGCTCTTGGCAAATGGCTTCATGTAATATTTTACATATATTTGCATCTATCTCCCCACTAGATATAATCCATTTGAGGGCAGATACTACGTCTTATCTAAACTTTATATCTCCCCCAGCAACTCAGCCCAAATTATGTGCTTAATAAATGTTTGTTGAATGAAGGCATGTTTTAGCACTCCTCACACCAAGTCAGGGACCTACCGAATAGAACCACTGAATAGTACTGGATCTTGTAGAATGATTGAAAGTCTGGAACGTAGAGTGTGCAGTGGGAGTTTAGAAATGTCTATCCCATCAATGACAATCTTTCCTGTTTAAAGCAAATACATTTAATAAACATGTGGTAAAGTTAACAATAAAATTATATTTGTTTATTAAAGATGTAATACTTCTTTGCCTTACAGAGGGAATGTCAAAGTTGAACACTAGATTTTAATGATCAAAATTATCACATAGAAATTATATATATATATATATGTATATGTATATATATATGTATATATATATGTATATATATATACATATATATATTTAACAAAATCATTTTCATTGTTTTCTTTTAAAGGAATTTTTTTATTCTTGTGAAGTTATATGTCTCATAGAAACCAACACAGATATTTTCCCAGGAATTCTTTATATTGTATGAAAAGAATAGGAAGGAAAATCAAATGACTGAAATGTCAAGTTTTAAGTGTTCTACCAATATGTTGAAAGAATTATTGTGTTGCATTTTTAAATACCTAGATCTATTGATCATTTATCAAATATGGTAATTTGCCCAACTTCACTCCTTTTCCCCAATATATTTCAGGTATTATACTTCAGTCAACTTATTCTTCATCACCTAGGGTCCTCAGAAACAATGTTATGGCTTTTCAAAATGGCTGAGGGATTAGAAGTACTGTCTGTGGCTAAGAATTAGAGAAAAATTAATTGGTCTGTCTGAATATCTAAATCGTGACCCTGGTCTTACTAACATAATGTGCTAAGTGCCAAGCTTCTTAAGACTAAATACATCTATAAATGCCATGGATCATTTTTTGTTTAGGTAAGAGTGACTGGAAACTTTGCTACAGTGCCAGCACTTCCTGGCAGAGGTCATCCACTCTGCCCTTGACCTTGCAGAGTTCCTGATGTTTTCTTTGAGGTTTGGCAGAGTTTTAGGAATGCATGTCTGAATTGAAAAGGTGTCCAAGTAGTAACATCACACCTTGGAGATGTCCAACAGAAGGTCATGATCTGTTCTTGTGGCATGATATCTACCCCTTTGCCCCGCTTCCCCAGAATGGGGAAAAGGGATTTCAGTTGTTGAAACTCAACTAAGAAAAAGGGTTGTATGACCTTCCTGATTTGTTCCTCCCATGGAATTATACAGCTCTTACTTTTAGTTGAGCAACAAGCCTAGCACGTGGTTGTCACAAATGTAACATACCACCCCCTTTTTTGGAGACAACTAGGTGACACAGTGGAAAAATTGCTAGACTTTGGAGACAAGAGGACCTGATTCAATTCTAGCCTCAGACACCCACCAGCTGTATGACCCTGAGCAAGTTGCTTAACCTTAGTTTGCCTTAGTTTCTTCAACTGCAAAATGGGGAAAATTATAGCACCTACCTTACAGGATTGTTGTGAGCATCAAATGAGATATTTATAAAGTGATTAGCATACTGCCTGGCACACAGTGAGTGCTCTATAACTGTTTATTCCTTTCTGCCCCCTCCCCTCTTCTCTCTTCCTTTCTCCTTTCTTTCCCTTTCTTTTCCTTCCCTTTCCTTCTTCTTCAGGAGAATGCAATTGCTAGCCTACAAGGTCATCTGTCCCTGACACCTCTCCTCACATAATTTCAGAGCTGGAAAAGACCTCAGAGATCATCTAGTCAACTTTATGGATGCCTCCTTGAGCTAACAGTTAAGTTGGATGACTGGAACTAACTTTTTCAAGAATACCTCATCGAAACTGTTGGATCAAAGAATATGATGAATCTCCATCAGGGCTTAATTTTTATTACTTCCATGGCTTTATTATTTGTCATGATAAAATTATTAATACTAACAATTAGCATGTAAATATTATTGAACAACATGTGTGCCTTCCTCACAAAACATGCAATTTCATTTGACAAGTTCATATTTTTAAAAGTCCAATGAAATTCATTCACAAGATTTATTATTATGATTAAATGTTATTCTAAATATTATTCTGCCTTCAAACTTCCCTATTCCTGTTGGTCCAAATCACTCAGATTTGAAACTTCAGTCTTTGATTCTTTCTCCCTTTCTCTCTACATTCAATCAATTGCCAAGTCCTAGCAATTCTACCTCCATGACATCTTCTCATTTCCCTTCCTCCATAGAAAGTTGCCACATCTTAATCCAATTTAACATGATTTCTAAATCAGAATCTATGGAGAAGAGAATGAAAGCAAAACATTTTACTTTCTCAAATGCAATAAGCTGTGGGCTTTTTCTTTCCTATATTTAAAACAGAATTTTTGACCCTGACATGCTTGATGTGGGAAGCCAGACTCAAAACCATTGGGATTTCAACATACTTTACTGCACTTCGTTCTAGAAATATTTTATTTTCACCACTATATAAATAACAAGTTAGTAAGCAAGAATTTTTTTTTAGGGAAAAAAAGTTCCAGCAGAACATTCCTAACAACTCACCATCAAAGATATCCACCATTCTGAAGAAAGCCAGTGATAATGATGACTTTCCACTGCCAGTACGGCCACATATGCCAACCTAAGACAGTTACAACAAACATTTAGGTGAATATTATGTAACAATCAAGTTAACTTAGTTCTAGAAATAGAGTTACAAAAAAATCCCTCCCCACTAAGGATTTATATTCTTTTTTTTTAAAGGCAATTGGGGTTAAGTGACTTGCCCAGGGTCACACAGCTAGTAAGTGTCAAGTATTTGGTCTGCGGTCGCATTTGAACTCAGGTCCTCTTGACTTCAGGGCTGGTGTTCTATCTACTGCACCACCTACCTGCCCCTGAAGACATATTCTAATGAAGAGTGGTGAGGTAGGGATGGACCATGTGTATAGGAGTAAGTAAATACAAAGTAATATTTTTGGGGGGAGTGGAGAGTGGAACTAATAATTAGAAGAATTAGGAAAGTTCTCCTGTAGAAGATGGTACATAAGCTGAGCCCTGAAGAGAGGTAGGGATTCCAAGTATATATGGAGGTAGAACATTCCAGGCACTGGGGACAACCTGTCTAAAGGTAGAGAGGCAGAAGATATATTGTTATGTATGGATAACATCAACTATGCTACTTTGGCTAATGCAGAGTATGTGTGAGTGAGTATTGAGGAAATAGTCTAGGAAGACAGACTGGAGTCAGTGAAGGAATTTAAATGCCAAAGAGGAATTTGTATTTTAGCCCAGATGTAATAGGAAGTAACTCAAGTTTCTTGAGCAAAGGGTGCATGTGTGTGTGTGTGTGTGTGTGATGGAGGTGGGGTTCAAGGAGATCAGAGAGCATGACCAGAGAAGCAGGCATCTCTCCTCCAGATAGAGAAGGTGAATCAATCGCAAACACCAACTCAATGAAAAAGAACAGAAGTTGCACAAAATTATTTTAACTCAAAAACATCATGACAGAAAAAATGCCAAAACTCTATTTACATACTCATAGTATAATCACTTATTTGCAGATAGTCTTGCTTTCCTGATCTTCCTCTTCACTGATATTCATGTCATTAGTAAGACACAAACTTGGTTTCCTAGTCAAATTTCTCTACTAGCAATCCCAATCTACATCAGCTTTCTTGTATCCACTCACAGTCTTAAACTTTCTTTATCATTGGTCTTTGTATTTAGTTGGCTTTCTTAACATTAAATTGCCTTCTATCATAAAGGTGATCATTTCAAGAATAATGACTAGTAGAATAAGACTGATAGTTGCTGCTTTTTAAATACCATAACTAAAATAACTATGGAACCAAAACCAGTCTAAATGGAAAAATTCTCAAGGGACTGCTTGGTGTAACTTCAAGTCAAAAAAGATGCCTTTTCCCCTTCCTTCTTTCTTCCCTTCTTTATTTTTCTCTCTCTCTGTCTCTGAATGTCTGTGTCTGCGTCTTTCTCCATCTCTGTCTCTCTCTGTCCCTATTTCTCTGTGTCTCTGTCTCTCTCTCTTTCTCTTGACAAAGAGGAAGTTTTGGGACCTTAATAGCCATGGATGTGTTGGAAATGAGGAGACAGGGCTTGGAAAAATTGAATTTTTTTTAAAAAGAATGTGCTAGAGGTGGAGAAGATGCCAAACTCTGAGGTATCAAGGACAGCCTGCTGAGGAAGCTTTGCTGCTACTGTTCAATTCTCCCTCTCTTCAGCCCAGTCACTTGAAAGCTTTCTCTTGGGTGTCTGGGGATCTTCCCTGATTACTCTTCTTGGGGAATAACCTTTTATCCATGAAGGTCAGAGGCAGTATTCCTCCCATAGAGATTTAAAACTCAACTAATTTCAGTAGATGCCAGGCCTCCATAAACTCTGGACTTCTCTGAGAACTAACTACCTGCCTATGGCAAAGTTTCTTATTGAACAAATACCCTGTTAAAATTAAAACACTGTTCCTTTGCAGATATAAATCATTACCGAAAAAAAGGACATGATGAAAATTAGTTCTTTGATATGAGAAAAACACAACTTTAAAATACAGGGAGAAGGATTTAGTGATACATTAAGGAAATATTGGGATGGGGAAGGCAGAGAGATATTCCATAAAGTCAGTCAATTGTTGCCTACTTTCTACTCTACTTGTTTTGAAAATATACTTATGAAACCAATAAGAAAATAATAGTATCTTTCTCTTTTTCACTCCCAGGATACTTTCATCTTTTCTTTCATTCCACAGTCCAGATAATTTGAATGCCAAAGTGTATGTTGTATAAAGGCCACCAAAAAATACACTTGGATAAGATGGTCAATCAGCAAATATCATTTCACAGTAAATGTTCTATGAGTATATCAAACCCAACCAATCAATTACCAAACCTCATATTAATCAAATGATGACAATGAGAGCTCCATACCTTTTGCCCTGGTTTGATATAAGCCTTGACATGTTTAAGAACTGGTTTGAGATTATTTTCATATCTGACACACAGATCATGAATTTTGATTTCTCCTTCCTGTGGCCAGTGTTCTGGAACTTGAGATGGATCTGGGAAAAGATAAACAAAATTTAAAACAATAAACCACATACTTCCTTTACTAAGACTAAACTCTTTTCAAATTTAAAGTAACACTGATATGGATTTTGTGAAATTTATTCATGTAAAATTACATTCTGGGTGAGAAGTTCAGAACTAAAACTTCAGCTTTCTTTCTCTATATCAGGATAGTTAACACAGATCCTGGCTCCTCAACCTTCAAATACTCTTTCCACATGTCAGCTTTGAAATTCTTGCCTATCATTTTTGCCCAGCAAAACTCAGAATCATAACTTAAAAAGACACCAATATTAAAGTCGACATTTTTATCATATAGCTTTATAAGGTCTAGAACTCTGAAGAACTGGGAGCCTTCTTGACCTGGGTACTAGTCTCAACTGTGCCATTAACTTAATCTCTCTCAGACTCAGTTTTCTCATCTGCAAATTAAGGGGTTTGCACTAGATTACTTTTAAGGTTCACATCAAGATCCAAAATTAAATGATTCTTTGGTATTATAATTCTAGAGCAAGTAATAAGGAATCTTAGGTTAACATTAGATAAGTAATTAAACCAGTAAAACAAATATTTTAGAAATATTGATCTATCTTTCACAGTAAAGGTAAGAATGATTTATTTACTTTATTTTAACAGTATTTTTTTCTAATTACATGAAAAGACAAATTTTAACCTTCATTTAAAAATTCTGAGTTCCAAATTTTCTCCCTCCCTCCTTCACCTTTGCCCTCACTAAGATGGTAAACAATTAAAAAAATCTCTTTGGGATACAGACCTAGTACTAGTATGCTGGATCAAAGGGCATGCATAGTTTGATTGCCCTTTGGGTATAGTTCCAAATTGCTCTCCAGAATGATTGCATCTCCACCAACAGTACATTAGTGTCTCAATTTTCCCACATCCCTTTCAACACTTATCATTTTCCTTTTCTGTCCTGTTAGTCAATCTGATAGGTGTGAGGTGGTACCTCAGAGTTGTTTTAGTTTGCATTCCTCTAATCAATAGTTGATTTAGAGCATTTTTCTTATATGACCATAGATAGCTTTGATTTCTTCATCTGAAAACTGCCTGTTCACATCCTTTGCCCATTTAGCAATTGGGGAATGACTTATATTCTTATAAATTTGATTTGGTTCTCTATGTAGTTGAGATAGCCTTTATCAGAGGTGTTTGCTTTAAATTGTCTCCCAGCTTTCTGCTTTCCTTTTAATCTTGGTTGAATTGGTTTTGTTTGTGCAAATATTTTTAAATTTGATATAATTAAAATTATCCATTTTACATTTTGTAATGCTCTCTGTCTCTTGTTTAGTTATAAATTCTTCCCTTTTTTATAGATGTAACAGATAAACTATTCCTTGTTCTCCTAATTTACTTATGGCATCACTTATTATGTCTAAATCATGTACCCATTTTGACCTCATCTTGGTATATGGTATAAGATGTTGGTCTATACCTAGTTTCTGCCATACTATTTCCCAGTTTTCCAGCAGTTTTTGTCAAATAGTGAGTTCTTGTCCCAGAAGCTGGGGTCTTTGGGTTTATCAAACACTAAGAAGTATTGATCTTGACTAATAGTTGTATGATTAATTCTCTAGACTTTAAATTGTTCATAGCTGCTTATACATTGCATATCTTAGAAGGTCTCCATAGCTAAATAATGCTAAAATTTAAATCACTTTTCTAGTTAGTTCAAACAAAAAGTTCCTTTTAATTTGAATTATCCAGATAATTTCCTTTGTGCCATTTTTTTTTTTTTGCTGAAGAATCTGGCCTTCCAATATAGCATTGCCTAGTTATTAAAATGAAGAAGTTGAAATTTTAGCACAAAGCAAAGAAAATGAAAAGGTGAAGATTATGAAAATAACACATAGAACAATACCCATTGCTCCTTCATAGTTTTCAGATTCCATTGTCAAGAAACTGTTCACTTTTTTTACAGCTCCCATTTGGACCTCCAAATCAGCCAAGTTTCTCACAACCCAATTCAAATAGTTGGTTATCTATATCAAGAGAAAAGAAGGTAAATAATTTTAAATGAACTATTTTAAAGCAACTATTTGGTATTCGATAATAGTTTTAAAATTATTCTATCAAGCATTAAGTCTTATGTTCTTAGCATCTACTCCATGCCATGAAGATGTAAAACAAATATGACATGGTTTGACCTCAAAAACATACAATCTGCAGATAAAACTAATATCAAAGAAACAATTAGAAAACACTATGAGAGTATAAACCATAAGTGCTAACTTGTGTATTACATGATTTAACACTTTAGAAGTCTATCATGATGTAGGAGAAGAGCAGAGTAGATAATATGGGAGACCATTAAGTGCTAGAATTGTTGGAAATATTTCATCAAAACCATGACCTAGAGACAGACCTTGAAGAATAGGTAGTTATTTACATAGGTAGAGGAGAACGGATTCAAGCAGGGAAACTAATTTGCTATATGTAATAACATCTACAGGAGAAAGAAACTAAACTGAAAAATGTTCATTTTTTAAATTATTTTCTAAAAGATCTCTGAAATAAATTTTAAAAACTATAATTCTTAGACAAATTATTCATATTTTTTACTTTAATATGACATAGGAAATATTTTATATATATATATATTATATATATATATATATATATATATATATATATATATATATATATATATATATATACACACACATAAAACATAGGTTATACCATAACCATGTTGGAACAAGACAAAACAAAGCAGAGATTCAGTATTTATCCAAATTTAAATATAAAGAGTTTGAAGAGACCTGAGAGACTGTCTCATGCACTTTCCTCATTTTATACATGAAGAAACTGAATCTCAGAGATCTGTGACTTGCCCATGGTCACACAGCTTGGTGGAGCATGTATTCAAATCCAGATAGCCAGGTGACAAATTTAGTGCTCCTTCCACTGGACTACACTGAAAGGTATATTGTAGAGTGGATTCTTTGGACTAAAATTTAACCTTTCTTTGTGGCATGGTTTAATAGAACCATAAGGACCCCTTTTATTATTGTTGTACGTGCATAAAATAAATGTGATTACAAAGGAAACAATTATATTGAAATATAGTTATTAAAATATAAAACATACACACAAGTTCATGGACATTTGGTTAAGAACCCCTGATGTAAAAGGTTTCTGATTCTACTTCCAAATCTGATAGTATGCAATTACCATGTACTTAAGTTCTAATTATTATTAAATATTGTTACATGTTATAATATATTTTCCTTAACCAAATGAAAATCTCTATAAATGAAATCTATATACCTAGGACTTTAATAGGGACTTGATCTGAAAAGAGGAAAAATTTTGGTTTTGGTGTCCTGCATTAGTCCAATAATTCATTCTTTTCTCAATGCTTAATTTATTAATACAGTCTATATAAAGTATTATGTGGCAACACAGAAAATGGAGCATGGTTAAACAAGTATTGTGTATTTTTTTGTTACAGACTTGGGAGTACTTTGAGCATGTGAATGTGTATGTGTGTGTGTGTCTGTGTCTGTGTTCATGTGTGCACTGGAGTGGGGGAGGAGGAGAGAGTTGTTGCAATTAAAAAAAAAATTGGCTCATGGAACCTGAATCTACTCCAAGTTGTTCTGAACTTGTTTGGCTTTGGTCTGAATCCAGTACGTACAAGGCACTCATTTTGCTATTTGTTTCAAGTTCTTCCCCTACTGTGTATTACAAGAGCTGACCTAGAAAGCTATCCATATGTTTTAAAAATATGTGTGTGTATGTATGTATGTGTGTATGTAAATATGTACATGTGTATGTATATATGCATATAAATATATGTATATATGAGTGTATATTTATATGTATATGTTTATATATGTATGTGTAATCTTATACACAAATCCATTTTCCTTTAAATTATTTTTCTTCATACATACCGTAAGTGCATACAAGAGGCCCAGTCCCACCAGACCAGAATAAGAAGTTTCAGTTATGATGCAATAGATGCAACAGCTGCAGTGAGAACAATGCATGCTCCCAGATAATCCTAAAAAGTAACCAAAATTGGTTATTTCCAAATTTTCAAATCAATGAGACTGGACCACCTTCTCTACCAGGGAGTGACCACCAGAGAATTCTACAAGAGAGAAAGTACTATTCCATATTTCCTATATGTCCTATAAGCCTAAATACCTAGAGTTTTAGAAGAATGTCAGAGATGACGTTAAGTGGAAAATTTCTTTGTTCAGACTGGCAATTCTATGTGTCTCTAATTTTAGCACTTTGCCTTTATTTGTGTCTATGTTTTAGTTCATGGCTTTTCACCAATGTGCTGTGACTGCTAGTGCTAGAACTCTTTAGTATGCAAGCCATAGCCTTGACAGGACTCTATTCCCGACTGCCTATTAAAATTTGGACCATTTATCTCTCAGAAACTCAATAAAGAATGAAGTTGCTGAAATGCCAGTCAGATTTTTTTTATCTGGGGTATCACATCACATCATATCACATCATATCACAACACATCACATCCTATCATACAACAGCACATCTCATCAATCCAGTGAACATTTATTAGCCATCTCTAGTGTACATAATACTGTAAGATATGACATGGCTCCCTCCCGTTTGGGGAGAGGCAACATATGCAAAAATAACTATAATATAAGATCATATAAAATAATCACGTAAAAATGGTACACGTGTAGAACTAAGTGAAAGCTGAGGTAAAACATCACTGCTTAACTTTTAGGAATAAGGGAAGGCTTTAGAATCAATTAAGTCATCAATCTCAGCCCCTCATTTTACTGATGAGGAAACCAAGGCTCAGACTTCCCTACAGATGAATAGGTAGCAAGCAAATTGGAATACAAACATGTCTCAGATCTAAATCACTGTACTACACAGCCTGCCTCCTGGAGGTATGAAATTTGAAATGGGATTCACAGCATAGAGAAGAATTAAAGAGGCATTATGGCAAAGGCATGCTCAAATATTCAAATGCATCTGTGATTTCATCAATTTAGGAGCTCCTTCCAATGACATAGATAGATTTCAACCCATCAATGCTTCTTCATCCTGTGTGACTATTTTTATGTTATCCTAAAATTTTACTGTGAGGAATTTACCTAATATGCTAGAAACCTTTCTCAATTTCTCATGTCATTGTGAGGGGACCAGCAGAGTATTTTGTCTGTTATTCCTTACTCTTGTCATATATCTATCCCATCTTTTCTTCCTGTTATACAATTCATTTATGACCCCCTTTACTCCTGTTCTGCAGAGTCCTTCATTGTTTACATGTTGCAGCCTATTCATACTAATCATACACCCCTTCACTGCCCTCTGTGTGATACTGACTTTTAGTTTTTTAGAAACAATGGTGTTCTGTGTCTCCATGTCATATAGCAACACTGGTAGGATACTGGTATTAAAAAGATGGGCCTTTACTTTCATGGAAACCCTAGGGTCAGTCAAGGAGCTTTGTAATTTTCCAAAAGTGATACAGTCCCATCTCCTTCACTATTTCAAGTCACTGACCATCTGTTCTATCTGTCCCAAAAATCATACCAACTGGACAAATGCTACAGGATTACATCTAAATGCTAACTGAAATATGGGCAATAGACATTCTTCATCCACTTGGTTTTTCCTCTACTGATGGGCAGGCCAAACTTCTATGAATTATTGTAGACCTCTCCCAGAAGGTTCTTCAGTGTCCTAGAGCTTGATGCAATCAATATAATGTTATCTGCAAACAGTAGCATCTGTAGGCACTCATTATCCACAGAGAAGTCCTCAGCTTGGATTTCATGCTGGATCTATCATGATGATAAATGCCTTTTCTATGTATTTATTTCCCTGTTTTATGCCTCAACTGATTTGTTACAAAAGAATCATTAAATATGGTTATTTCTCTTGCTGTATATCCCTGGGAATTGGGATTGCTCTTGATGTACATATGGGAAACATTCTACCCTAAGAGTTTTTAGACAACATTTTGTCCTACTACATCAAATACTTTTTGATAATCAGCAGATGATAAGCACAATGGGGCATCATATTCTCTTCTAAAAAGTCTTACTCCAATGCCTCCCTTGTTGTATGGAGGTGGTTCTGAATTCTAGAAGGATATGAAAACATAGCACAAACTCTAGTATGCTGTACCACGCTAGAAAGATCAATTTTAGCCAGAGTAATGAATGCCTATTTTTTTCCCTAAGGACCAACCTCAATTAAAAAAAATCAACAGCAAGCTTGCACCTTGTGATGAACTTTTTTTTGGTTATGACAATCCATGAGTACATTCTAAGAACAGGGGAAAAGGTATGAGCAAAGGTCACAGAAGCAGGAAAGTGTGGTGTGATGGTACAAAGTCCAAACCGACTGCGGTATAGTCTATGGAAAAGATGTACTATGCTACATATAAAAGAAGCAGAAACTTTTAATTTTAGAACTGGAAGGGACTTTAGAAATCACTTAGTCTAAACAAGACAAGGAAACCAAGGCTTGGAAGGTACAAATGACTTGCCCATGGCAGATATGTGCATCTATCTATCTGCCTGATCAGATCCCTTAGAATAAGTACCCAACTTCTTTGAAAATTTCTGAATACAGAAAGTAATCCAGTTCATTCCAGAAGTTAGTTGAAGCCATATGTCTGGCACAATATAGAGGTTGTATAAATGATATTTTCTTAAAAATGTAATCTTTTTTTTTTAACAATACAAGGGTGATGAGGCTGAGCAAGACCACTTCTATTGAAATACATGCTTTGGGCCCTTGATAAAGTGTATGTATGACCAGAGACTACTGGTTAGTCCCTATGATAAGGGTTGGGAGTATGAGAGTAGGAGCTATGCCACAGAAAAATGGTCACTGAGTCAAGAAGAACTGTCCACTCAGTAGGATTAAAAAGAGAAGATGAAATCTTTACCTTTCTCTTTATTCCAATCTTTTTGAAGGTCTGGCTTAGGACTCCAACAGCTTTCCCTTAAACTTCCCAATGGATTTTGCTTTCTTCTCCCTCCATAGAAAGTCACATGCATTTGGCAGTGAGTGAATAAGTCTGAGACTTTATCATTTGTCCCTTGCTTTCTCTTTTGCCTTGTTGCTTTCCCTGAGCAAAGGTGACTGAATGGTGATTATGAGATGGATGTTTCTAACCTTGGTGGTTAATTTATGAACTTAAACTAACTCATGACTTTGGGAATTCTAAAGTCCATATGCTGACTGACAGCAGAAGATTCTTGTTGCAACAGTGACACTTCTTGGAGGAGGGAGATCACTGGCAGGATCATCCTGGTACCTGAAAGCCCCAAATATGACCTGTCTAGCCAGAAAACTTGGACCTTAAGCTACTGTTCAGCCAGTACAGACTGAGGTAAAAAGCGAAACTCTTCAGCAGTCCTATGAGTCAATCTCCCAGGAATCTTTACCTCCTGGGAGAGCAAAATAGAATGATGAGTAATATGCTTTAGTATCTGTTTATGAATGTCCTCACTATGAGTCCTTTGAGTAGTTCATGTGTGTTGGCTCCTGTAAGTTCTTTGTGATAGGTTACTGTTCCGTATTTTGTTTCATTTATAGTTGCGTAAAATCTACTGTCCCATTTTTGACATCTACTACTTTATACAATGAATATATTTTCTAGAAGGGACTCTGTTAATTCTTTTTGGGAAGACCCTGAACATAAGCTGAATCTAAAATTTGTTTAAGCAGATTTTCCTGAAGTAACTCCAAGTGAAGATATGATGAGCCAGATGGTAAGAGAAAAAGATGGATCCTTTTCTTTGGGGTTAAGATTCCCCAGAACTGAATCCTGTCTATGTGAGTCTGTAAAAGTAGGAACCTTTGAGGAAGGGAGTATGTGTACCCTTGGTTTCAAGTGACATCTATTTCAAATAAAATGCCATTATGTTAATAAAACAAAAATTCAGACTGTTGATTTTTGTGTACTCTTACTAGCAAAATTAACATAGCCTATTTTATTACCTTTGTCAAAAAGGTATACTGTTGGTCACAAAGGGGATTGGAGAAGAGTATGGATACATGTAATAAATCCATCATCACTACTGGAAACTACTGGAAATTCATTTCAGAGGATAGACCCTGCTGATGGTGAGTTACTAACATCATCATTCTATATGAAGAATGGCAGATTACAAATTACATTTATACATTTTAATTACATAGACAACCTGGAGTGTCCAGAGGAGGGCAACCAAGATGTTGAGTAAATGCTACATAAGGATGAGTTGAAGGAATTTGGCATATTTAGCTTAGGAAAGAGATGAGTTAGGATGAGTAGACAAGATAACTGTCTTCAAGTATTTGAACTGTTGTCTTTTGGAGGACTAGATTTGTTTCGTCTGACCTTACAGAGGAGTCAACTTTGGGTTGTTATTAGGAATATCTTCCTAAATGTTAGAGCTATACAAAAGTGCAATGGGGTGATATGTTATCCCTCTTTAAAGATCTTGAAGCAGAAACTGAATGCTTATTTGTTAAGTATGAGACTCCTTTTGTACAGTGGATGGCCACTGAAGTGCCTTCCAACTCTCAAATTCTGTGACTTTTGAAGCAAGGATGCATAAGCAGATTCGGCATGTGGAAGGTTGGAACAGAAGCTGTGTTGTTGAAATCCCCCTGGACTATAGACTGCAAGGAAGGAATTCTGTGTATTCTCCTTCTCCTTTTAGGCTTCATTGTGGAAGCCTGATGCCTTTTCTTCTAGGCACCGGAAAGTGTTTACCTTTCTTTTTTAAATGCTTGCTTTGTATTTAAACACTCTGTTAATCACAGACCTTTGCTAGTCTGGGTATATTTATTAGAAACAAGAAGGCAATGAGAAGGGGAGTATTTTCAAAGAAAAGGAAGAAATAGATCCATCACTGAGATGTTTTGAAAGGACACTGTCTCTGGCTAGAGGCTTGGAGGTATAAAAAATAGAAAGAATCACAGATCATTTGATACAATTTCCCAGAGTACTGGGAGATCCATTTGGATATTGAGTCAGAGTAGGCAAAATAGAACGACTGGACAAAACTGCTTACCACCCTCACCACAGAACTTCTACATATACATTTGATATTTACTTATCTGTGGAAATATCATATTCTCCTAGGAGGATGTAAGCTCCTTGGCAGCAAGGACCATCTCACTTTTGTATTTGTATCCCTGGCATACAGTAGACCCTCTCTGACAAGAATTTATCCCTAGAGCTTAATCATAGACTTGCCTTGTTCTTATGACCATGAAATGCAGATTCTTTGTTTCATGGGTGGACTAGATTATGAAATTGAATTGGATATGAAGTTCACTGTATACTTTTATCTTGAATAGGTAATATGGAGAGAATAGGTGAGGTTCAGAATTGACTAGAAGAGAGAATGGAATAAATTGCATTTAGAAAACTGTACACAAATATCAACAGTGCCAAGTTTCTCCTTGGTATGAAGATCCATCTGCTTAATGCCAATATTCTGCTACTGATGTCATATTACTTTGAGTAAAAGAATACCAAGATCTCAGAAAAATTAAAAGTTTAAGGTATATTCAAGTGCAATAAACACATGGTGGACATAAGTAGCATCATACACCATAATGACTTACATGCAAAAAGCAGTGTAAAATATATCAAGGAAATGTATGACTGGAAAAGAAGGTGGATCAGTTGCAAGAATGAGGGATAATAGATAGACAAACTGAGTGCTGAATGGATACCTACAAAGGATTAAAAGGCTTCTCCCCTATTAGACCATGAGTTCCTTTTAAGGACGGACTGTTTTTTGCCTCTCTTTGCATTCCCAGAGCTTAACATGGTGTCTGACACATAGTGAGCACTTAATAAAGGCTTGTTGGAAGGCTTCCAGTCTTTCCAATGTGGAAGATTTTTAGAAGACATACACAAGAATCACATAGGATAAAAGACCCCAGATGGGTCATGATCTGATGAGATCACAGATCATCTAGTCTAACGCTCTCATTTTATAAACAAGGAAAGTGAGAGCTAGAAAGGTGAAGTGATTTATCAAAGTTTACACAGAAATTGAGTGAAGGAGCAGTCATTTGAATCTAGTAACTGATTCCAAATCTATTACTCTTTCCAGTATTTTGTAGTGGAGATGATAACTTATGGAAGCAAAAAAAAGAGAATTGTAGTCTCACTAAAGTTTTAAAATCTGAAATGTTTGCATGAAAGGTGCTGCAAGAATAGCAAAAACTATAGCATTTATTTCCAAAATATGTACCTTCTTTCTGTACCAGGAGTGTGTTTTGGTTACTTCTGGCTCAGCATTAAAAAAAAAATCCAAATATTAATTTCTGCTCTAAGTATTTTAAAAGAAAGAGAATAGAGTTATTTGGGAGCATGTTGACATTTATAAACTGTAGATAACCTAGGCAGATAGGTTAGGTGCTGCCCTAATGCAACCATGTACAACTAGCACCATAATTTGAATTAAAAATAAACCAATCAAAGATCTACTTAACTGAGATATATCATGTGTTAACAAAGCGATCATGAACACAGATGCAAAGCCTGGCTTTAATCTGTCCCATCACAAAAGGCAAGCAAAGCAATATTTACAACATCTATGGAATTTGCTGTCAAAAACAGTTTGGTCAACAGTTGTTTTTAAAAGATCACTGGCAGTTCTATGGAGCTAAAATAGTAGTTTCCACCTTTTGAATTTTGTGATACATATGGATTTGTACAGTGTTGCAGCATAGATGTAAAATTGCTGCAGGAAATGATGATAAGCTAGCTCTTAACAATGATGCTTTATCCTTCCATAGTGCCTTTATACAATACTTCTTTAAAATACCTTCATATGCATTTTGTGAGGTAGGCAAAGCAAATATTAGCTCAATTTTGAGGAGGAGAAGGATTATGAATTACCAGGGTCACACACCTAACTAGCAGAAGAACCAGGACTAGAATCCAGACTTCCTGATTTATTGTCCAGTATGCAATTTCAGTGTGCTGAAGCCTGGTCATGGCAGGTGAATTGTTGATGGAGCAATTTTGTTTACAAGAGCCAGTGACTTTATTTTGTTTATTTATTTTTGTTTGTTTTTTGTTTTAGGCAATTGGGGTTAAGAGACTTGCCCAAAGTCACACAGCTAGTAAGTGTCAAGTGTTTGGTCTGAGATCAGATTTGAACTCAGGTCCTCCTGACTTCAGTGCCAGTGTTCTATCCACTGTGCCACCTAGCTGCCACAGCCAGTGACTTTAAAGAAAGATATTGAAGCATGGCTTGGGGCTAGAATGAATAGGAGTGGGGTGGTGGTAGGTATAGTTTGAGGAAAAAGTAAGAAACCACAGCTACTTAGTATTTTCAAAGTCTAATCTTAGGACTACTTGACTTAACCCTGAAATAAAGAGCTAGCCATCATTTAGATGCTATCAACTATGGCAGAAGTAAATTTAATATTTTGCCTTAAAAGTACTTCAGCAAAGCACACATTCTGGTTCTGCTACCGACTTTGTATGAATATGCATAAGTCATTTCATCACTATGAGCTTCTGTTTCTTCATACATAAAATGAGGAAAATGAATTAAATGGACTTTCAAGTCTATTTTAGCTTAAAATCTACTATTCTTTGCATTTTGTTTTTATTTTTGCTTTTCCTCTTTGAAGCCTTCTTTTTTTTTTTGGCTCTTTTTAAGGCAATTGGGGTTAAATGACTTGCCCAAGGTCACACAGCTAGTAAGTTTCAAGTGTTAGGTCTGAGGCCAGATTTGAACTCAGGTCCTCCTCACTTCAGCACCAGTTCTCTATCCACTGTGCCACCTAGCTGCCCCTGAAGCCTTCTTTTAAAAGCAGGGTCATGTAATTGTTCATTTGCTTGGACAAATTCTATTCCCTTAAAACAATCTCTTAAGCACTCCATTTCAAAAAGTCACAGAATTCAGGAGTTGAAAGGGACCTCAGGAGCCATTTAGTCTAACTGAAAAAAATCCCCACTATAACATACCTGATAATTGGTCATTCAGCTTCTAATGAAGAATTACAAGGAGAGAGGACACATCACCTCTCAAAGCATACTATTCCATTTTGGGACAGCTCTAATCATTAAGAAGTTTATTTGACACTATCATTAAAATCCCTTGTTCTAATCTCATTCCTGTTCACTGCTGGAATAGGTCTTGTATAGTTAGAATAGGCATATTTGACACGATATGAGGTATGCTGATACTCCCAATTCTACCATCAGTAATTTGTGCTTTTGAATTAGGCATTGTCTCTTTTCATAGTCTATTAAATATATGACTATTTTTGGATAGGGGAGCAAATAAAATTCACAAAACTTTGGTGTGGATAAGTTAATCAGATCACAGGAGTGGCCCATGTCATTAGAATACTGGATAACTGGAGAAGAAGAAAATGTTAAGGGAGGATGAAGAGGCATCAAAATGGAGTTAGGGAGCCTGGAGACAGACTTGGCTTCTCAGATTCATGTAAGAATAGTGCTGACTTGGGAGCTGTAATAGTAACAAGTATAATGTATAGAAGACTGAGGCTCTTAGATTAGCTATGGCTTTCATTTAAACCATGGTTTTAAGATCAGCTACAGGGGCAGCTACATGGTGCAGTGGATAGAGCACTGGCCCTGGATTCAGGAGGACCTGAGTTCAAATCGGACCTCAGACACATCACATTTACTAGCTGTGTGACCCTGGGCATGTCACTGAACCCCATTGCCTAACAAAAAAAAATCAGTTACAGAGCTCATTTAAGCTTCTAATTTCTACCTTCTTTATTAAAAAAAAACTTTAGGGGCAGCTAGGTGGTGCAATGGATAAGCACCAGTCTGGGGTTCAGGAGGACCTGAGTTCAAGTCCAGCCTCAGACACATAACACTTACTAGCTGTGTGACCATGGGCAAGTCACTTAACCCCACTGCCTAGCCCCCTCCCAAAAAAAAACTTTAGTAAGAGCCACTGAATAGCAAAGTTGCCTGTATAATTTCTGTGTCAATAAATAGACATTGAAAAAGTCAAAAGGCAATCACATGAATAAAGAAACCAAAGTTAGAAATCCTGGATCACTTCAAATGGGATATTTAGTCTGGATACTTGGTTTAATGGCATTGTCTAGTACTGTAGTTACAC